GATTTTTCTAACTCCTCATAACTCATGCATTTTTTTTTAGCACTTTTGGTGCTTGCTTTGCTAAAGTTAAATTGACAGAATCTAAGCTAAAATCCGCAGAAGCACACCACTCATCAAATGGTATACTGTCATCCTCATCCCCATCTATCTTCTGAGAAATTTGAACTGATATCAAAGGCTTACTATCTTGAACTAAATTTGTACAATTTACCTCAAGTTTATTCTTGACCTTATGCATAGTAACCGGAATGATGTGATCCTTTCCATTAAAAGGAATTTTCAGCTCATTTTTATCCTAATCTATAGCACATTTGTATTTCTTGAAAAGACGGTTTAAAAATATTAACATCGGCTTGGAATGTTTTACAACTACAAAATCTTCATATATAGTACAATCAGGGTTTAGTGTTATTGGTAGATTACGAACAATACCAATAGATTCAATTGGAACAGTAGCAATACCACTAAGGTCATACTTTACTGATCTATCAATTTTTCCATTTACACGCTTAACAATATCATCTGTTACAATCTCAGTTTCAGCTCCACTATCAAGTATCATTGATAGAATTTTCAAGTGCTTAATTTTACATTCTACAGTTGCAACACTTGTAGCTGGCTCTTTTCTCCGAACTAAATCTATCTCCATAGGATCATTTAGCATTTCCTATTCTCCATCTGAATCAGGTATTTCTGGAACTGGTTCTCGATAATTATTATTGCAAAGCAATAACCTTTCTGGTCTATCCTGAATAGATGGTAGCTTACTGAAATTGGGTTTAAGACTTTGTAACAAATATGGAGGTAATAGTTTTTTTAATATATCTATAACAATTTCACGAATTTCTTCTGAAGAGGTCTGCTTTGATTTGCGATATTTGGGTGAGTTAGAAACTTGAGATTTCGATTCCTCTTTCTTAGACTTAGATTTCTTGGAAATCTGCTTCTGGTTTATTTTTTTTTTGATTTAGTAATATTAACTTGCATACTCTCAGTTTCAGAGGAGGTATTATCAGAGTTAGAATCAGAATCAGAATCATTATTAGAAGAGCTATAATCAGAACCTGAATTAGAACTAGAATCATTGGTAGCCATATTAATTTTACTTTTTTTCTTAGATCTGCTTTTCTTTTTATTTTTCTTTCGAAAACAGCTACGAGAATTATGTCCTATCCTACCGCAATTTGAGCAATACCGCTAAGATTTTTTAACAGTTTTAGCAACAACATTAATGTTTTTAGCCATTTTTGCTATATTCAATGACATGTCTGCTATACCTTTAGTAATTTCATCAACGTCATCGGTATTTGGTGTAATGTTCTTTTTTATTTGTAGTTTTGGAGGTAAAGAAGGGGCCTGTACATCACGAATTTTTTCAAGTAGATTTATAACGATATATAACGCTTAATCTTTTATATCGATTAAATTTAAACGCTAAACATTGATTAATTTGTTATTTAGCGATATATATCATAAATCGCTTATTA